GTGGCTCGCCCAGGTGTCTCTGCGGCACGGCTTCGCTGCTTCCTTCCCTGCTTCCGGCCTCTCTGGCCAGGGTGACCCGCACCTCCCAGCGCACGCCCCTCCTGCTCGAGGACCCCAAGTCCCCACCAGCAGGACCCCAGCAGGGACGCAGCTGGGACAGCGGGTGCTGGAGGCCAGCTGCGCTGAGAAGGCCGCGGTGCAGTCGGGGCCACCCCAGGGCTGCTGCACCCACAGTGCTCACAGCAGCCGCGAGAGCCCAGGGGAACCCTCTGTGAGCACAGCAACTGCTCCATGATGTGGGTCCTCTCAGTCTCCGTGGGCCTACTTCCTGCAGAGCCCCAAGCTTCAGACCCCCCTGTGGGAAGCATCAAGGGTGGCAGCCTGGAGCTAGAGCTAGCAGTGCCTGAAGCCCGCCTCCAGGTCAAGGTAGGCGGGTGTCCAGCTGTCTGTCTCAGCATCAGGCCTTAAAGGAGACCTCTTGTGCCTGAAGCGTCAGCCTCCGTGGAGGGAAGCCTGTCCCGGGCTAACAGCCCCCAGTGCGACGTGCACACCCCAGACTCCAGACAGAAGAGAGCAGTGCCGGGCCCTAACAGCAGCTGACAGCCGCCCTGAACACCCAGCGCCGCGCGGGCCCCAGGCCGGAGGAAATGAAGATCGCAGCGCCCACAGCCGAGACGCCAGGGGGACGAACAGAGGCTCCCAACCGCCGTCGGTGGCCGGTCGGTGGCCGGTCAGAGACACGTGAATGGCCCGTCGTCGGGGCCTGGGGGCAGTGCCACAATACAGTCACACTGTCTTCAGCTGCTCCGAGCGATGACCCGGTGGGAAACCCCAAAGGCGCCCGGGTCCCGATTCAAGCAAGGCCAGCAGGTCCCGACGCGGACGGTGGCGGCCCGCTTACCTCGGAGAGCTTGACACACATCTGCTCCTCCCAGCCCTCTTCTGGCGGAGCCTCCGGAAGGAACACCCAGTCGGCGCCACAGGCCAGGCCACTCACGAGGGCCAAGTACCTGCACGGACAGGGCCACGGTGTCAGCACTCCGAGCGGGGCGGCAGCTCGGAAACGCGGTCCCCAGTGACCGCCCCGTGGGGTGTGGCGCCCACCCGAGCCGCGTCCGCAGATACGCACCCACAGTGGCGTCCCATGACCTCCAGGACAAAGGTCCTCTGGTGGCTGCAAAGGAAAGGAAGAGGACATCCACTCACCGCCAGAACAGCACGAGAGCCAGGAGGAAGGGCTGAGACGGCCCGGCGGGCCAGCGCCACCGGCTCCAGCTTCCAGAAACGCTCCGGCTGAAGGCGCAGGCGGCAGCCCCACTTTCCTCTTAAAATTTTTTTTTAGAGTCGGGGTCTCACTCCGTCGCCCAGGCTGGAGGGCAGCGGTGCCACCACCGCTCGCGGCAGCCCCAAACTCCTGGGCTCAAGCACTCCTCCCGCCTCAGCCTCCTGAGTAGCTGGGACTACAGACACACTGCCACGCCTGGATACTTTATCTTATTTTTGTTTTATTTTGGGCTTTTTGGCAGATAAATCCCTGTTTATCGGAAGTAATTAAACTGCCTTTTTCCTTTTCCTTCAAATTCCTAATAATCTACTCCAGGATCAAATTCATTTCTATTGACTACAGCTTCTCCAGCTGTCAGATAAAGGACTCGGACAGCGTGTTTACTGTCTAGGGCTCTTCCAGACTAACATTCGCATTTATGATTTTATTGACTAGTGATCTCCCAGACCTGGTTAAAAATAAACATAAAATGAGTTCCCAGTTGGCTTTTCTTCCTCAAATAAAACCAAGTCATGAAATGTTTCAACAGTTTACTAAAGTTTACACAACATTTCAAGCTCTAGAAGTATTCATGTTTAAATGGCCTGATCTTATTTCTGTAGAGATGGGCTCTCTCTGCAAAACACAGCTCATCTCTAGATGGGCTATGTCGTCCGGGCTGGCCTCAAACTCCTGGGGTCAAGCCGTCCTCCCGCCTCAGCCTCCCAAGTGCGGGATGACAGGCGTGAGCCCCTGCGCCCGGCCTTGCGATGGCCCTTTCCAGTTCCATGTCTCCCAGCGTCTACCTGCTATGCCCCAGACACACTCATGACACTTCTAGGACACTCTTCTGTCCTCCTTCCAAGTCCACCCCTACGCTGGGCCGCCTCGGCGACTCCCATCAGGAGGTGTGGGCTGGACACGCCCCAGGAACACACGGGCCGTGCGTGCGACTAGGTCAGCCTGGGGAAGCCCAGAGACTGCCTTCGGCCTGGGGCGGGGGCACCCAGTGGCTCTACGCCCCAGCCAGCTCCGAAGGGATTGCGTGCCTTTCCGGCAGCCGCCGCGTTCACACCGTGGGCTGAGACAGACGCTGCAGTGGCACTGTCCGCAGGACCCATATACGGAGGCCCAGCAGCCCTGCGCCCTGGGGACGGGTTTCAGTCCCTGGGTCTCAAGCCTCTCCTCCACGGTGGCCGCGTGGGGCGACGCTCCGGGATTGGGATTCGTGGACAGTGCTTGCGGGGGCTCAGCAGGTGAGGTGTCACCTGCAGAGCCCAGGTCACCTGGGTAAAATGCTCCCCACCCACAGCCATGTGGGGTCCACTCCCCAGGGAGCCCTTTGGGTGGGACATTTAGACAGGGATGTTTGTTTTCCAAATTATCCCCAGCAAGGGAATGGTCATCACCATGAAAAACACAAGCGACCGTTTACAATTAACAACGAAAAGCAGACCCATTGCCTTGCTAGACTCTTAGAGGCCACGGGCTCTCCGAGCCACGGCTGGGGCCACACTTCCTGGCTTTGGTCCCCTCCTACTGTGGGGAGGGGAATCTTTTCTTTCTCTCTTTCATTGACTTTTAAAATAAACGATATTTTCTCATCTCAAAGAAAAAACGAAAAGCAGGCCAAGGACCGTTTGCTCGCCCCCTCTCTGATTCTGCGCCACAAGGCCCGAGCCAGGACCCCCGTGCCAGGACCCCCGTCCTCGGAACGTTCTGGAGCCGGGCACTCACAGCCCTGGCCTCCCCTCCTCCCCAGGTTCTCCGAGCGCAGGTACCTCTGGGCCGTGGTCATGATGGCGTCTACGACCTCAATGATGCGATGCAGCGCCGAATCGGTGCCAATGGTCATGTCCGTGCCGCAGAAGTCGTTGTCGATGGAGCCCACCATGCCCACCACGTTGAGGTAGGCGTACTTCTGCACGGCCTCCTCGTCGATCTGGCCTGTGGGAGCAGAGGGCGCAGCTCAGCCCCGCGACAGCAGCCCTTCTGGGGTGCCCACACGGGCAAGGCGTGGTGGCCGGGGGGCAGAGAACCCAACTGTTCTTTTTTTTTGAGTTGGGAGTCTCACTCCATTGCCCAGGCTGGAGTGCAGTGACACGCTCCCGGCTACCGCAGCCTTGACCTGCTGGGCTCCGGCGATCCTTCCGCCTCAGCCTTCCGAGTAGCTGGGACTACAGGCGTGCGCTACCACGCCCGGCTAATTTTTGATTTATTGTAGACACGAGGTCTCGCCAAGTTGCTCAGGCTGGTCTCAAACCCGCAGGCTCAGGCAATCCACTCGCCTTGGCCTCCCAAAGTGCTGGGATTACAGGCTGAGCCTCCAAGCCCGGCCTCCCAGCTGTTCTTTAAGAGACAGAGTCTCGACCTGTTGCCCAGGCCGGCGTGCAGTGGCACCACCACGGCTCACTGCAGCCTCGACCTCCTGGGCAGAGGCAATCCTCCTGCCTCAGCCTCCTGGGTAGCTGGGACTGCAGGTGCATACCGCCACGCCTGGCTAATTTTTAAGTTTTTTTGTATAGCCAGGGTCCTGGTCTGTGGTCCAGGCTGGTCTCAAATTCCTAGCCTCAAGCGATGCTTCTGCTTTAACCTCCCAAAGTGCTAGGATTATAGGCATGAGCCACCACACCCAGCGGAGATCAGCTACTCTAATCTGTGTCTATTTGTTGTTTTGTCTCCTCGGAATCCATGTGGTATGGCTCTGCACGCTTAAGGAAAAGCAAAGCCTGAGACGCTGGAAGTAGGGATGCCCCGTGTGAGCTGGCATTTGGCACCGGCTCCGAGACAAGAGTGGCGAGTTAGGAAAATGAAAGGAAGGGTCCACATGCTGCAAAGGGAGTGTCAGAACCTCCACTTCCCTGGCAACGGTTCAGAGGACGACCTGGCTCCGAACAGGGACACGCCACGGCTACAGAAATAGGTGCCAAGGGCGTGTCACCTCCACCTTGACTTCACTTAGGTCTGGAGGCAGGGCTTGTCCGCCAGTGCTGTCTACCGTGACTCTCAGGGCCGGGCAGCTCTGCACAGAGACCAGGACGAGCTGAGGCCCGGACCCGTGGCCGCCGTCCCCTTCTGTGCTCCCAGCGGGCTGTGCCGGGCCAGGTCGAGGCGGAAGAGAGGACACAGGCCGGGCGCGTTCCCACCCACAGCCGCTCCCGTCCCCCACGGAGACGCCGAGAGCCCCGGGAACGCGGCCTTGCTCAGGCGGACGCCTTTCGCCAAGTGGCCACACGCTTGAGCCACTGGCTTTCACGGGTCCTACTTCATAGGTCGCTGGAATTCCAGGGCAACGGCCTCAAGAGGTCAACGCCACGTGCACCCGGGGCTCTAGACGTCCTTTCCTGAATGGCGTTCGGAGGCAACCCAGGAAAACACAATGGCGGGTCTTTATCATCCCCATAAATTAAAGTCTTGGCTGGGCGCGGAGGCTCACGCCTGCAATCCTAGCAATGTAGGAAGCCGAAGCAGGAGCATGGCTTGAGCCTGAGTTCGAGACCAGCCTGGGCAACGTAGCGAAACCTTGTCTCTACAAAAGACTTTAAAAATTAGCTGGTATCACAGGAGCAAAGAGCTGAGCACCACGTGTTCTCACTCCTAAGCGGTCCCTGATCACTGGTCACACAAACACGAGGGTGGGATCAGAAAAGACCCTGGACACCGCTGGGGGGGAGGGGACACGGGGCAACCCCCGGGTTCCTAGCCCACTCTCAGGGGCGCGAAGGCCAGCTGGAAGCCCAGACTCCGCCTGCATGCAGCCTACTATCATGTAGTGAATCCTCACTTGTGCCCCACAACTCTAGAATGAATAAAAAAGAAGAAAGGCCGCATGTGGTGGCACACGCCTGTAGTCCCAGCTACTCGGGAGGCTGAGGTGGAAGGCTCGCCCGAGCCCAGGAGGTCAAAGCTGTGGTGCGCCATGATCCTGCCACTGCACTCCAGCCTGGGCGACAGAGCGAGAGCCTGACTCACCGCAAACAAAGAAAAGCCCGGTGGCTACTTGAGTTGTAAGAGACCCCAGCGAGCTGGGGGCCACAGGGAGAGGGCTCCAAGTGGGAGCAGAGGCGTCGAGGGCTGGTGGCGACCCGGCCACCCCTTAGCTATGCGGCTGCCTCTGACTACTGGTCTGTGCATGGGCGTCCGTCATGCACTCAGCTGGCACGGCCATGGGGAGCATTCCATCAAGCCCAAAAGTGCTGGCCTGGAGGAGGCGGAATCCACACTCTCTCCTCACTGCTGCTCCCACGGGGGAGCCTCGGCGGGCCTGGGAAGGCGACCTGTGAGACCTGCGGCCACGGCAGAGGCTCCCGCGGGGCGGAAGGGCGACGCGCCCACCCACAGTCTCCCAGGACAGGCCACAGGCACGCACCGGTCCTGGCCAACTCCTCCAGCAAGCCGCTCCACTCCCTCCGGAAGACGTTGGCCCCCGTCAGGCTGCCGTCGCCGCCGATCACGCACAGGTTGGTGATGCCACGCTGGACCAGGTTGCACGCGGCCTTCAGGCGGCCCTCGCGGGCCCGGAAGGCCTGGCACCGGGCGCTGCCGATGATGGTCCCGCCCTGGGGAGACAGACGGCGGGCTGGTGGACCTCCTCTTGCTCCTCGTTTAGACAGGGCCCTGCTGTCGCCCAGGCCGGGGTGCAGGGGTGCAAGCACAGCCCCCGGCAGCCTCAACTCCTGGGCTCAAGCGATCCTCCAGCCTCAACCTCCCGAGTAGCTGAAACTGCAGGCGTGCACCACCACACTCCGCTAGTTTTTTTTATTTTTTGTAAAGACGAGGTCCCGTGATGCAATCTGGATCTGTCTCAAATGCCTGGCCTCAAGTGATCCTCCCGCCTTGGCCTCTCAAAGTTCTGGGCTTACAGGCATCAGCCACCATGCCTGGCCTCTTTATCCCCCTCAAATGGACAGTAAGCTATGAGGTCAGCATGCTCGAGGGCCGACCAAGACACTCCGGACTGTGCAATTTAGATTTCCTCATTTGCGTCTTTTGAGTCAGTCAACTAACTGTGAAAGTCTGTGATGTTCCCAGTTGCCATCTCAAACTGGAATTCCATGGCAAACACACATGCATCATGACCAGAAGGGGCCGCGGGGGTGTGGAGACAGACAGACGGTAGCCACCCGTGATAAATACTCAAGAGCCTGCGAGGTCAGAGCAGCTGCCGGCAGGCCAGAGAGGAAGTCGCCCCTGGCCTGGCCGGGTGGACTCAGCCAGGTGCGCAGGGGCAGACGAGCCTGCTACTCGCCCCCCTCGGTGAAAGAGTGCCTCGGCCACTGGCCTGGGAGCCAGGCTGTCCTGTGACCCAACGGTGCTGGAGCTTGAGGCAGGAGCCGGGGCCATGGTATTTTGTTTTGCCCCATATACACCCCCACCCTTTAGAGGCTAGTCGAAGGAAACTTAAATCTCATCAGCCACACTTGGGGGGACTCATGATCTATCACCTTGTTTTGCAAAAACTAACAACTGTTGGGGGCTAGTTACTTAGAAAACAACAGGAGCCTTCGAATACATCATGACTGCACGTACAAACTCCAGCGTGTGCTGGGCCCTCGAGACAATCACGGCCAGAGCAAGGGCGCATCGGCACAGCGGTGTCTCTGCCGGGATGGACCCCTGATGGTCCCTTGGCATGCAAGGTGCACGTGCCCAGCTCGCTCTGATGCATGGAGACTCACGTGTGTTTTTACCTGGAAATGATGACCACGCCCCGGCCAAGGCCCTAGGGAAAGGCTCCCGGCAAGATGACGTGCACGCAGCCCCTTGCTACACGGCTGCCCAAGGACCCTGTGTCGCCTTGGTCATGACCCCCTGTGTGGAGTCAGGGTACAGCCCTGACTCAGCCTACAGTGGGAAGCCCGTGTCCCCATGCCTTGCGTCCCCATGAGGTCGGGTCTCCGAGACGTCGGGTCCCTGTGGGGTCCATCCCCATGACATCGTGACTCCATGAGACCATGACCCCATGAGGTCGAGGGCCCGTGAGGTCGTGTCCCTATGATGGGTCCCCATGACGTCAAGTCCCATGAGGCTGCGTCCCTGTGGCGTCGTATCCTTGTGAGGCTGTGTCCCCGTGAGGTTGAGTTCCCGTAACGTCTGTCCCCATGGAGGCTGCGTCCCCATAAGGTCGAGTCCCCACGAGGTCATGTCCCCGTGAAGTCACGGCCCCAGAGGCCACCGGCCACTCTGTCCCAGGGCTTATTAGACGCTCGCCGGGGACACCCCAGCGCCCAACAGACACGGAGCTCACAGCACCAGGGACCCAGCAGCCTCCACATCAGTCTGGCCTGAAACGCGGGGCAGCGGCTGCAAGCAGCGCCCACTCTGGGCTGGCATCAGGCAGCGCACTTCCACCCGACGCGGAATGAGTGACAGGAAGGGCACTTCCTTTCCACGCCGCTGGGTCGGAGCAGGGAGGGCACAGCCTGCGTGAGGTGCTTTGGCAGCGCAGGTTGGGAGGCCTCGCCCTGGAAGCACGACTCACTACCATAGTAGGGAAGCCGGCGGCCGGCAGACCCACCACTTGCAGGATGCTGGACACGCTCTCCCAGTCGGCCTCCACGATATTCGAGCCTCCGTCCACCATGCCCTGGTAGCCCTAGGGGAGAAGACAGAGGATTTTAAAATGCAAGTTAAGTTTCGCTGTAATGTTCGCGGACCCGACCTTGACCACGAGCTTCTTAGCATCCAGGGGTGAGAAGACACAGCGCAACACAAGTGCGGGAGAGAAGTGGCCAAGCATGGAAAACCTTACATGCAATCTTGGCCAGGCATGGTGGCTCACACCTGTAATCCCAGTGCTTTGGGAGGCTGAGGCGGGAGGATCACGTGAGGCCAGGAATTTGAGACCATTCTGGGCAACATAGGGAGACCCTGTCTCGACAAAAACAAACCAAAAAAATTAGCTGGGCGTGGTGGTGCATGCCTGTAGTCCCAGCTACTTGGGAGGCTGAGGCAAGAGGATTGTCTGAGCCCGGCTATAGAGGTTGCAGTGAGCCATGATCGAGCCACTGCACTCCAGCCTGGGTGACAGAGCAAGACCCTGTCTCTAAAACAGAAAAAAAAAAAACTCGTCTCCAATCACGGGAACTCCTTCCCAGACTTGTCCCCAGAGAGGGGTGGGAACAATGTTTCTCCTATGGCCCCGTGGCTCCAGTGAGACTAAAAAGAAACACATCCACGCCCGATGTTGATACCCGAACACAGGCCCACACGCACACGGGGTCACCGGCATTCCGTCAAGGGCTCCATCTGCCAAGGCGGCCCTGGCTGCTTTAGCTGTGTATTAAACACATGTATAGCCGGGCATGGTGGCGCACGCCTTAGTTCCAGCTACTCAGAAGGCTGAGGTGGAAGGATCGCCGGAGCCCGGCAGGTTGAGGCTGCGGTGGCCGGGAGCGTGCCACTGCACTCCAGCCTGGGCGACAGAGTAGGACTCCAACTCACACACAAAAAGGCGTGTAGACAGCACAGCTGGGTACGAACTGGGTGCCCTACCGCCCACGCGTAACACCCTCTGCTCCAGGGAGCTGGACGTCAGTGCGCACCTCCGCCAGGGGCCCAGAGACCCGGGGACCCCTGCCTTTCAAAGCCAAATGCAGCTTTCTTTTTCCCCGCAGAACACACAAGATCAGGGAATACGGAAACGTTTATCTGCAGCTTTATCTGCATGACTCACTCCCCACAGCACCTAACCTTAAGAAACAGCTATTAAGCATCTAGGGCCGGGCACAGTGGCTTCCACCTGTCATCCCAGCCCTTTGGGAGGCAGAGGCCGGTGGGCTGCTTGAGCCTAGGAGTTGGAGACCAGCCTGGGCCACACAGCAAAACCTCACCTCTACAAAAATTAATGATAATCATAACTAGCCAGGCGTGGTGGTGTGTGCCTGCAGCCCCAGCTATCTGAGAGACTGAGATGGAAGGACTGCCTGAGCCCAGGAGGTGGAGGCTGCAGTGGCTGTGATCGCCATGGTCATTGTGATCGTGCCACTACACTCCAGCCTGGGCGAAAGAGGAAGACCTCAAGTCAAAAAAAATCATAGAAAAGTTGGTCATAAACCAGGTGGTTCGGCCTGTAATCCCACACCTTTGGGAGGCTGAGGTGAGTGGATGGCCTGAGCCTGCGGGTTCGAGACCCGCCTGGGCAGCGAGACCTCATCTCTACAATAAATCAAAAAATCAGCCAGGCGTGGTAGCGCGTGCCTGTCATTCTGGCTACTTCGAAGGCTGAGGCGGAAGGATCGCCGGAGCCCAGCAGGTCGAGGCTGCGGTGGCTGGAAGCAGCCATTGCACTCTAGTCTGGGTGACAGAGTGAGACTCCAACTCAAGAAAAAAAAAAGAAATAAAAGAAAAGTTGGTCACAATAAGTTAGTAGTGTGGGTTTATGATCTCTATCTAGTAAAAGCCAAGAGGAAAGAAAAAAGGAATCCAGATTTTTACAAATGAAAGGTCATTGATTATGAAGCTTTGTGTGCAAAGTTAGTCAATAATGCAGGGATGTGTGTGTCTAATCTAGTGTCACATGCGATAAGCAGGAAAGAACAATGCACCATGTGGTGGGACGGAACCCACACCAGGCACGGCGGGTCCACCTCCGCGCTGGCCAGCGCCATCTGCCTCTATGGGCAGGCCAGGACTCTCCCTCACCGTGTCCCTCTTGGTCCCTAAGCAGGCTGATGGAAGAACTGCCCGTAACTGGCCTGTCGCCTTCACGGCAAAGCAGTGACATCTGCTAAGCCCGTCCAGTCTGATCACTTCTTTGCTGTTATTGATGTAGCTCCTCTTTCGAAAGCCTTTCGCGGTATGCAGGCTGAGTGGTTTTCTCTCGAAGCACAGAGCCCAGCGGAGCTGTCCCCGAGGAGGGAGGCGGTGTTCAGAAAGCGTGAGACCTGATCCAGCCAGGCGCCGACTGCATTATCCTGGTGTGTGCACCCTGTCCACACACAGGGAGCGCCAGGACAAATGGCCCATGTGAAGCCATCCCTCTCCTCACTCCTGGGGATCTTAATGCTACAGGGGGGTGAGTGCATGGAAGAAGAAGGGGGGGGGGTGACAGATTGATAATAGAAAGATACATGACAGATGGCTGGTAGAAAGATGACACATGACAGACCGATGGGGGCAGATAGATTGATAGATAAAATGCACATGATATTTAGATGATGCTAGACAGATAGGTGATAGATAACCGGCCCTCATGTTACACACTCCTCATAATCCGAGCGCCCCAGACCCCCAGGCGTGCGCTCACACCCACACCACACCCTAAGCACCTCACGCCCCTCCCCAAACCTGAGAACTGGGGAGAACGGACGGCCATGTGGCACCCCCGACCCACCAGGTGCATTTCTGCAAAACTCTCAAGGCGAGGCAACCACAGGGAAGGCATGTGGCCTGGTTCCGCGGGCCAGGCCCACGCCACGCACAGACCCAGACCCACCCTGGAGGGATGCTGTGCCACCCTCCAGACTCAACCCTCGTGATGAGGCCAGGGCAGTGGCAAAAGCCAGGACCTGCCAGGGCAGGGTGGGACGCAGATTCGAGAGGAGAGACGCCCAAGCCTGCACCCCACAGGGTACGATGGGAGCTCATGTGCGTGTGACTGTCGGTGCAGAGAGGCTGAGGGCCAAGGGCCTCCCACGGCGTAGCTGAGGGGGAAGAGGTTGAGGTTCTCCAGCACCCCGAGACCAGCTCAGGGTCCAGGCCAGAGCACACATCCAATGCCCTTCCTCAGATGGCCCTGGAGCATGGGACATCCCAGAAAATGGCCCTAGCCAACCACCACACACTACTTTATGACTTAAAATGCCATGCTGGCCAAGCACGGTAGCTCATGCCTGTCATCCCAGCACTTTGGGAAGTGGAGGTGAGAGGACTACATTAACCCAGGGGTTCCAGACCAGCCTGGGCAACTTGACGAGACCTCATCTCTACAATAAATCAAAAGTGAGCTGAATGTGGTGGCACATGCCTGTGGTTCCAGCTACTTGGAAAGCTGAGGCAGAAGGATCACCTGAGCCCACCGTTGGCCATGAGGGTGCCACTGGGTGACAGAGTAAGACTCTGACTCAGAAAACCAAAACAACACAAAATGCCGTGCTGGGAAGAGAAAAACTGCCTTTCCCCTTAGCATCTCACAGAATTTAAGTGCTGGTTTAATAACACATTTCTGGCCAGGCACAGCGGCTCACGCCTATAATCCCAGCACCTGGGGAGGCCGAGGCGGGAGGATTACTGGAGTCCAGGAGCTCACAACATAGTGGGACCTCGTCTCTACAATAAAAATAAAAATTTAGCCAGGCATCGTGGTGCGCATCTGTTGTCCCAGCGACTCAGGGGGCTGAGACAGAAGGATCATCGGAGTGAGATCAAGGCTATGGTGGCTGAGATCATGTCACTGCACTCCAGCCTGGGGAACAGAGTCGGACTCCAACCATATATATATATATATATATATATATATATATATATATATACATATATATATATATGTAAGTATGTATAAATATCTATATATGTTTTCTTTTTTTTTTTTTAACAAATCCTCGCCGAGTTCGGTGGCTCAGTCTGTAATCCCGCGCCTTGGGAGGCGGAGGTGAGTGGATTGCCTGAGCCCGCGGGTTCAAGACCCACCTGGGCAACTTGGCAAGACCTCATCTCTACAATAAATCAAAAAATCAGCCGGGCGTGGTAGCACACGCCTGTAGTCCCGGCTACTTGGAAGGCTGAGGTGGAAGGATCACCGGAGCCCAGCAGGTCAAGGCTGCGGTGGCCGGCAGTGGCCATTGCACTCCAGTCTGAGTGACAGAGTGAGACTCCAACTCAAAAAAAAAAAAGAAAGAAAAATCCTCTTGTTTCCAAATAGCACAGAAAACTGTTCTATGTACCCTAACACATATTTTGACAAGAAAAATGTTCTCTAAAAATAAGCTGATGCTTGTGTGCAGCAGAGACACACTCGGGAAAGGAAGCGCTGGACAGTAAGAGGGACACCTTAAGAGGGAGCACAGCACCCAGGCGCGGCTACTGCACACATGGGCTGCGTTGCTAGGAAGTGACTCACTCTTTAATTTGCAAAGTCACAGAGCCCATGCAATGCTTGAAATGTCACCACAAACTGCAGTTTTGAACCGCCTTCTGCTAACGAGGAAGATGCCACTAAATTAGGAAGACTAATTTTACCCAAATGTATTATCATATACACATTCAGACGGGGCTTTCCTATGGAAGTTTCTTCCTGGAAGGCTGAAGATTTATTTTAATACAGCCAAAGCCTAAACATTCTCTAAAATTCCTTTTCGAAACTTGTCTTCAGAGCCAGTGTTATGACTCACACAGGAAAAACAAACCATAAAAGCTTGAAAACCGTGCTCCGTTGTTGACCAAAGTATTCCTGTGTAGTTGATTCTGACTCACACGGTGAACCCGAGAGCTCTGTGGGGCTATGTCAAATCCATCGCCCGATGGAATGTTTTACGTGGAGTGACTTGATGACATCCGCGCACAGGCCATGGGCTCTGAACTCATTTTACCTTCTCGTCTGGAATCACTTTGCACAACATCAAAATAAGTATCAGCAGGCCCCTAGTTGGTCACCTGGGAGGCAGAGCTGTG